TAAACAATTCACCACAATTTCTTGCAAGTTGGTGAAAGCATTCTTGAGTTATTGTCCGAAAACTGGAAAATCCCTCTTTTTTTAATGAATAAAACCCCATAACTCTGAAACATAAAATCTAAAATTTATAGAAAACAAAAGGGAGCTCACGTCAATAGATATAAATAATCCACCAAAGTTTTATGCAAATTGGTTAAAGCGTTTTTGAGTTAATGTACGAAAACTGGAAAATCCCCCTTTTTGTAATGAGTAAAACCCCATAACTCTGAAACGTAAAATCTAAAATTTATAGAAAACAAAAGGGAGCTCACGTGAATAAATATAAACAATTCACCAAAGTTTTATGCAAATTGGTTAAAGCGTTTTTGAGTTAATGTCCGACATGTTGACGACGGACGGACAGACGGACGGACGGACGGACAGACGGACAACGGTATACCATAATACGTCCCGTAAACGGGCGTATGAAAACACCATGAGATGGCAACTGATTACTTTTGGGCAACATGACCTAATCAACAAAATCTAACAAAACAATAACAGGATAACATAAAAAGATTCATGGCAACAGATTACTTTTGGGCAACATGATATAGTTAAAAAAATCTTACAAAACAATGACAGGATTACATAATAAGATGAATGACAAACACCATAAGATGGTAACAGATGACTTTGGGCAACATGACATAATTAACAAAACAATGAAGGGAAAACATAAGACCATAAGACAATTGATGGCAAACACCATGAGATGGTAACTGATTGCTTTTGGGCAACATGAACTAATTAGCAAAATCTAACATAACAATAAATGGATACTGTAACACAAGAAGATTGATGGCAAACACCATGAGATGGTAACTGATAACTTAAAGGCAACATGGTCTAATAAACGAAATCGAACAAAACAATGAAATGATAACAAAAGAAGATTAATAACAAATACCATGAGATAGTAAGATTACTTTTGGATAACAAGGCCTAATTAACAAAATCTAACACAACAACGAAAGGATAACATAAGAAGATTAATGACAAACACCATGGGATGGTAAGAATACTTTTAGGCAACATGACGTAATCAACAAAATCTTAACAAAATAATGAAAAGAAAACATAAGAAGATTGATGGCAAACACCATGAGTTGGTAACAGATTACTATTTGGCAACATGACCTAGTTAACTAGACATCATTGAAATGGAAGCCATCTCTGTGGGCCCTGCTGTAAATAACAAGTTACTATTTGACTATTTAAGATGTTAGTGGTTGAATCTCTTGTGCTATTAAACAGTACGCCAGATGCACTTTACCCTTAATTTTAGAAATATAATTATAAAAGAAAAAAAAATTCTTGAAATAGACACAGGTTATTTCGCATTACTTGTCAAGCCAGAATTATGCCATTTTAATTGTTGGAACTGTGTACTGTATCTGTATTCACTAGATTAAATAGTTCTTGTGTTTACCTATAAAACAGTCCTTTTTTAAAGTACAGTAAATATTTTTATCATGTGGAAATCTATACGTCAGTATTCCTAGGCTCGACAAAAATACACCAGATTGAATTATTTGATTGGTTTAAATTTGTTGTGTTGCCAATCTCCCTATTTTTGTTTATTTTATCTTTCAGAGTGATAACCACATGTCCTGGTGGAGTAATATCTCCACATATAATTACTCACAAGAGAACAGAACTAAGCCATTTGTATGGATTGATGGAAAAAGACATAAAGATAAATTCTGCAGCAAATGTTAAGGACTACAATGACAATGATCAGCATCAGTTTTCATGTGGTAAAAAATAGTATGGATAAGCTGATATGAAGCACTTTTTTAAGTTATTACATAGTCTCGTTATGCGCTGAGAGTGATTTTATTCTATGTTTTTAGTTAAGAGTGTTATAGTTGGCCTAGGAAGTTGTACATACATTATGACACACCCTCTAGTGTTGGTTAATATACATGTCAAGTATAAACTTTGAAATCGTAACGGTTCACAAGATATAGAGCGGACACGATCTTTACCATAGGACATGGGGTTGTCAACTGAAACCAAAGTTTTTGACCTTGAATTTTGACCTAGTAAGTTGTACTAACATTATGACACACCCTCTGGTGTTGGTTAATATACATGTCAAGTATAAAGTATGAAATTATAAAGGGTCTCTAGATATAGAGCGGACACAATTTGTTACGGACAGACTGATCACCCTAACCCGCCACTTAACAAAATCTAACAAAACAATGAAAGAATAACATAAGAAGATTCATGGTAACAGATTACTTTTGGGCAACATGACCTAATTAACAAAATATAACAAAACAATGAAAGGATAACATAAGAAGATTAATGGCAAACATCATGCGATGGTAACCGATTACTTTGGGCAACATGACATAATTAACAAAATCTAACAAACAATGAAAGGATAACAAAAATATTGATGGCAAACACAATGAGATGGTAACTGATTGCTTTTGGGCAACATGACCTAATTAGCAAAATCTAACAAAATAATGAAAGGATAACATAAGAAGATTCATGGCAACAGATTACTTTTGGGCAACATGATATAGTTAAAAAAATCTTACAAAACAATGACAGGATTACATAATAAGATTAATGACAAACACCATAAGATGGTAACAGATTACTTTGGGCAACATGACATAATTAACAAAACAATGAAGGGAAAACATAAGACCATAAGACAATTGATGGCAAACACCATGAGATGGTAACTGATTGCTTTTGGGCAACATGACCTAATTAGCAAAATTTAACAAACTAAAAGGATAACATAAGAAGATTGATGGCAAACACCATACGATGGTAACTGATTTTTTTTAGGCAACATTATCTAATTAACAAAACTTAACAAAACAATGAAAGGATAACATAATAAAATACTCCGCAGGGCGCAGCTTGATACGACCGCAGAGGTCGAACCCTGAACAGTTGGGGCAAGTATGGACACAACATTCAAGCTTGATACAGCTCTGAATTTGGATTGTGATTAAATATTTGACACAGCATAGGTTTCTGACAGAATGAATGTGGTCTAAGAACTTAAAAATTTTAAATTGGACATTCACCTATTATGGTCCAATATCCAAAATCTAAATACATGGTTAGATTCAGCATATCAAAGAACCCCAAGAATTCAATTTTTGATGAAATCAAACAAAGTTTAATTTTGGACCCTTTTGACCTCAATGTGGACAAAGTTGATAATGGGGCCCAAAAATCAAAAATCTAAATACATGGTTAGATTCAGCATATCAAAGAACCCCATATATTCAATTTTTGTTGAAATCAAACAAAGTTTAATTTTGGACCCCGATTTGGACCAACTTGAAAACTGGGCCCATAATCAAAAATCTAAATACATGTTTAGATTCAGCATATCAAAGAACCCTAAGAATTTTTGTTAAAATCAAACTAAGTTTAATTTTGGACTCTTTGGACCTTAATGTAGACCAATTTGAAAACGGAACCAAAAATTAAGAATCTAAATACACAGTTAGATTCGGCATATCAAAGAACCCCAATAGTTCAATTTTTGATGAAATCAAACAAAATTTAATTTTGGACCCTTTGGACCTTAATGTGGACCAATTTAAAAACGGGGCCCAAAATCCAAAAACTAAATACACGGTTAGAATCAGCATATTTAAGAACCCCAAGAATTCAAGAATAAAACCCCATTGAAATTGGTCAAGAAATAAGCAACTTATACGAAGTATCTTCTTTTGCACAATACTGTGCAATTGAATATTTCTTGCTATTGCGCAATACTGTACAATTGACAATTTCTTGCTATTGCGCAATATTGTGCTATTGGATATTTCTTGCTATTGCACAATACTGTGCAATTGAAGATTTCTTGCTATTGCGCAATACTGTGCAATTGAAGATTTCTTGCTATTGTGCAATACTGTGCAATTGAGAATTTCTTGCTATTGCACAATACTTATTATATAATAATTTACACATTTTGGTGTGTATCTCCTACCATATCATTATTATTTGCTTTTAAATATAAAACAGAGAAATAACCAACTTAAAATGGAAAATTTTAAAAGAAAAAAAAAAGGAAAAAAGAAAAAAAGGAAAAAAAAAAAAAAATCCCCCCCCCAAAATTTTTTGAACACCCTTATGATTCATCACCCCCAAACTCAATCCCAGCCTTCCCTTTGTGGTATGGTACCTTGCAGTACAATTTCAGAGAGATCCATACACTTGAACACAAGTTATTGTCTGGAAACTAGAAAAATGCTTATTTTTGGCCCCTTTTTGGCCCCTTATTCCTAAACATTTTGGGCAATTACCCCCAAACTCAATCCCAGCTTTCCCTTTGTGATATGGAGCCTTGTAGTACAATTTCAGAAAGATCCATACACTTACACACAAGTTATTGTCATGAAACTAGAAAAATGCTTGTTTTTTGCCCCTTTTTTGGCCCCTAATTCCTAATATTTTGAGGCAATTACCCCCAAAATCAATCCCAGCATTCCCTGTGTGATATGGAACCTTGTGGAACAATGTCAGAGAGATCCATACACTAACACACAAGTTATGTCTGGAAGTTACAAAAATGCTTATTTTTGGCCCCTTTTTGGTCCCTAATTCCTTAACTGTTGGTACCATAACCCCCAAAATCAATCCCAACCTTCCTTTTGTGGTATTGAACCTTATGGTAAAATTTCATAGAGATCCATTCACTTAAACTAAAGTTAGAGTGCGAAAACCAATGTGTCTTCGGACGACGCCGGACGACGCCAACGTCATACCAATATAAATTTTTTGCGGTCGTATAAAAAGATTGACGGCAAACACCATGAGATTGTAACTGGATACTTCTGGGTAACATGACCTAATTGACAAAATCTTACAAATCAAAGATATGATAACATAAGAAGATTGAAGATAAACACCATGAGATGGCAATATATTATTTTGAGGCAACATGACCCTAATTAACAAAATCTAACAAGAAAAACAAAATATTTTATTAGCGGCCACTTAAAATTCTCAATAATTATGATAATGTTGTTAGAACTGTTGCTCCAAAATATTTTTTAAATCTCTGAAAAAATCACTTATGAAGTGAATTTTAGAAATGCAATTTTACTTGGTATAAATCTACAATGCAAATATGAATGCTTCTTCTACCCTTAGTACTCTCTATTACTTATAATTCTTTTTGTCAATAAATCAAGTATAAAAAGTGCTCAGCTTCTCATTTATATTTATACTGTTTTATAGTGCCATATAATTCAAAATCATATTGAAATCAAACCCTGTTTTCCTCATACAAGTAACTCATTTTTAAATACTGTGGATTCATTTATTTTCGAGGGTACCAATTTTCGTGGATTGAGGAAAACTTGCATTTTAGTGGATATTTGATTTCGTGGTTTTCCAAAATTCTCCATTTAATCATACAGCAAATTTGCAATTCGTTGAACATTTAAATTCGTGGTTTCCATGTACCCACGAATTCCACGAAAATTGGTATCCAACGAAAAATAATGAATCCACAGTATTATGATATGTCTATAACATACAATGTAAATTCATCTACTAAAAACACAATTTTGTAATAATCACCAAAAAGAACAAAATTTTGTAAAAAATCACATAACTATCTATTCTACCATGTGTCACAAGAGTTGCTGATTTATCTGCTAACAAGGTAATATTCCATATTTTTTCAAAATTTCACTCATGTCTACTATAAGGTCAAAATAAACTTTAAAACAAAAGAGATCTGGTTAATTTTTAAAATCAACATGTCTAAAATCATTATGTCTTTAAAGTCTAGTGTAAACGTATCCCCAAAAAAAATTATTCAGTATAGTCACATGTTAATAAATGAATAGTCATTCAGGTCTGTGTGATGAATCCTGACAAATTTTAAACTCCACGATGAAAGAAATTGCTCACCAAAACCAGATATTAAATTAAATCCGAAAAAGAAGATGATATTAACATCAGTCACAGGAAGTTTTTTTCAAAAGTTATTGAAAAATTAGAGTAATCTCCCTTTTTTTTAATTTGGCCTGATGCATGTGTGGAAGTTCTAAATAAACAGTGAAGAACATAACCCACATTTTTGTAAATTTTGTTATCTGCCATTACATTTAATAGACACCAGGTCCTTAAGAATCTACACCAAGTTCGTTCAGGACAGTTTCCTGTATGATGATTTAAATGAATTTCAAGACGTAAACATTTTCCCCCTAACACAACAAACTGAAAAATGAATGTAACAATGGAGCATAATTTAATTGATTCTACAAACTGTGGATTCATTATTTTTCGTGGGATACCTATTTTTGTGGATTTCGTGGGTATAGGTGAACCACTAATATGAAATTTCAACAAATCACAAATTTTCTATAGGCTTCAACGTATGCAGACTTCGGAAAAACCATGAAATCAAATACCCACGAAAATGCAAGTTTTCCCAAATACACAATATTGGTACCCACAAAAATAAATGAATCCATAGTAACTTATAATATCAACAACATCTTCTGATAAGTGTGTATTTATGATTTTATGTTTGAAAAACAACAACAATCAACAATAACAATGCTAAGTTAACAACCTTTTGACAAAATGTTTGATATAAATATATATATATGTACATTAAAGATTTATAATCATTATATTTAATTTGAATTTACGGAAAACATTTTTTTTAAATTTAGAAGGAGGTAATTAATTAGCCTTTCTTATTAACTAAGCATCAGGTAATGAAAACTCTTTCCTTCAAAATGTTCTGATTGTGTCAAAAGTACTGTGTTTTCTGATATTCAGGGATGGATCCAGGATTTTTTAAAGGAGGGGTGTAATTCCAGATTACTGTATATAAACTGTCAAGCATAGCTAGGTGAAAAAAATTTGGGCCAATTTTATGATAAATTATAAATTTTCCAACCAAAAGGAGGAGGGGGAGGGGGGTTTAGGCTCTCTATGCCCCTGAATTTGCCACTAATATTGGACACAGGATCCCTAACATTATAAGCTTAGTAGGATGCAGTAAGACATAAGTTTATTCAACAATAATTTGGATCAAAAATTAATTCAGAAAAAAAGTAAGAACTAAAGGTTATGTATTTAATCCTAAAAATTATATATCAAAATTTGATCTCAACATAAAATTAAACATGTTAAAAAATTTTAATTTGCGTAAACTAAAATTATGAAAAATGACTGATCTGCTGATGAGACTAATGATAATTTGGAACATTATACTATGACTAAACCTTAACAAGATGGACTTTGACCTTTTTAAATGTTTGGTTGTATCAGTTATATTTCAAGTACTATTACATTATCATTTGTGGGATACCAAACTTCGTGGATTCTGTGGGTAAAGGTGAACCAGAAATTAAAAAAATTTTGTGATAAAAAAATTACATATTTTCTATCATGTCTATAGGTTGTATGCAGATTTTGGCAAACCACAAAAATACAATTTATCCTCAATCCACACAAATTACTATCCACAAAAAATAAATGAATCCACAGTATGAACATGTGGAATATATTTAACTAAAGAACATTTCTTGTTACAATGAAATTCATATAATTACAGATATCTAAAACAATATCTTATAAAACTAAGACCTTAGATTCTTATATATCTCATAAAAATGGTATTTTTACCCTGATTTCAATAACTATGGAAATTTCCATAAATGTCAACAAATTTACACTTTCACATGTGAATTTGTTCATTTAAATGCCTTGGCATACCGGTAGTCCTAACTAGTGTTTCAAAAGGCCCTTGTTGTCTGGTATGTATGTACAAAAAAAAGAAAGATCCAAGTTTTCTATCAGGTTTACTTGACTTTTACTGTTTCAGAAGCCATTAGCCTTTCAAGAATTGTTAAGGTACTTTTTGATTTGAAAATAGATTAAGAGAGCACATACTATAATACATGTATCTTTCCTACTAAATTGATTGATTGGATATATGCCAATAGTCTTTGAGATATAAGTCCAACATTAAAAAAACTTAACATCAACCAATAAACCATAAAAATGAGGTAATTTAAAAGATCATGGCATCACAGCAAAATTTCTGCCCATTATCATCCTTAATGATATATTTTATTTACATAATTTTTATAGGATTTAGAAGAATTTTACAATATTTGAAAATTTAAGTGGCCAAAAAATGGGGTTATTCATACCTCCATCTTTATATGAATAACATATGATTTTGTTTCATTTATACATTTGTAATCTAATATGACACGAAAACATTTTCCTTTTTGTTAAAACAACTAGAATATTATAAATTTTCATTCAATCATTTTTGGAAAGCTAAAAGTTGTTTTGTAATAATTTTGCTTTGAATCATGTTTCTAATATTTATAAACTACTATTTTTTATGAAAACAATCGAACTAGCAGACTTTTTTAACACAAGTTGCTTCCCTTTGCCAATTGTTGACAAGTTTTGAAATGGGCAGAATGCACTGCTTGGCAGAATGCACTGCTTTCCAGAAGCATGCAAAGCTTGAAATATATTTTTGCTTTCAACCTATTTTTAATTAAATAAATGAAACTATCATTATTAAATGTTTTTAACTTTACAAAAGAATAAATGTAATTAAAATATCCCAAAAACTTGAAGGTCACACACATTACATGATTTACAGCTAGATCTTTTAAGTAACTGAAAACTGATGTCATCTATCTTTAGGTAAAGAACTTGTACAAATGGATCTCTAATAACAGGGTCACTTACAGAATAGCATGCTAAAGGAGAGCAGCCTATATTGTCTATTTTAGAACCAGTGACTACAATTGACAAAGGGAAACAACTTGTGTTACAACCATGACAACAGAATCCAGTCGGTAATTGGGTTATTGGTGGGAATTGGCAAATAGACTATTGTATACTGTAAATTCATAAATTATTGCTTGCATTTATTTTTGAGATTTTTGAAGAATGGACAAAAATTTAAGTTAAATGATTGCAATTTCAATAAAAATCTGCATAGATATATGTCTATGTATTGTTATGAGAATGTGAGTTCTTATTATTGCGATACTCACCCAGTCGCATTATTCACAGTTAATAAAAATATCTCAATAATTTCTGAATTTACAATATATCCTATGTTAAAGGTAGCTAATGTATATAATTTCTATGGTTTGAGTAAAATCACGGTCATTGTTGATGTACTTCAGCCATATGCTCCATGACGAGAATTGAGGTTGCAAATGATTCGTCACAGAAAGCACACACATAAAGATTTTGTTTATGAGTTGCTATATGTCTAGAGAGATGCCATTTAGATACAAACTTTCGATCACACACTGGACACGGTTCACTTTTCAGATCCTTACGCTCATTGTGATTTTGCATGTGAAGTTCCAATTCAGGTGAGGTCTGACATAAAAATAAACAATACGGACATTCAAACCATTCACCACTAGCAATATCAAGACACTTCTTAAAATTTGGAACCCTAGCACTTATAAATACATTCTTTTTTCCTTCAAAAACAGAAGATGCTCTTTTTACTGTTTTCACTTTTTTTGTTTTATTTGCTTGTTTTTCCATTTGCTTACATTCGTCTGTATCATAGTCTGGCAGTGATTCAACACTTGAGGAAACACATGATTCAGTTTCTGACGAATCATGATCATTATCAGTCTGTGTTGATACTAGATGTGAACATGAAGCATTTGCCTGTGGTAAAATTGAGGTGGTGTACATATGATCCTGAGCAATGGAATTCACAGTGTTACAGATGGTACCAGTTGTCATTTGGAAACCAGCAGTATCGTTTGAATATTTCTTGACATCTGGCATGTTAATTATTATAGGAAGAGGCTTTTCAATTGGTGTTGTCATGGATGTAGTGCCAGAGATATCTATAGATTTTAATGTTTCCATCTTGTGTGTTGCTTTTGGTACAGTAACAGATTGCCTCTGAACCATAATGTTGCCACTAGTTAATTTTGGTCTTTCAGCTTTTTCTTTCTTGTTCTTATCCTTTTTGTCTACTTCTATTTTAAATACATATGGTCCTTGCATATGGAGTGTTATATGATGAAGAAGATACTGTGAGTTTGGGAAACGAGCCTGACACATTCCACACTGAAAAGGTATGTCATCTAAACTAACAGGTCTCTGAGAGGTAACTGAGGATTCATTATTTTTTCCATTCGATGAAACCATATCACTGTATATATGTTCACTGTTTGTTTCAGTTCTGTTTAAAAAAGAAGAGTTTTCGTTATTTTTAACATTCAAACATGTATTTGCAATGGAACTGCTGACTAAGCCAGCTTTTATAACAGCATCTAAATTCAAAGAATTTGTGTTATTGTTGCCATGTTTCAATATATGGTTTTTGAGACGTAGACCATTTAAATATGGCTTTCCACAAATACTGCACTCTGGAATGGCTGGTAACTGATAAAGTTGTTTGACTTGATAACCAGTGTGTTGCTGTAAATGTAACAACATAGGTGTAGATCTCTTTAGACATTTACATATTTTACATTTATAATGGTCTGCTCTCCTAACAACATCTCCTAAATGTTTAAGTAAGTGCAAGTTCATGACTTTTCCTTCTTCGAATGAGGACGGACAATATTTACAGAAGTACTTTGGAAGGAAGTTATCTTCACATGGTTTCACTCTCTCTCTAATATGTCGAAGATTTCCTGATTTGCTGATTATTGTTACGCCCTTGCTTTTCTTCCTCAACATTTTCTCTCGTAACTTTTTAGTAATTTCAGACCTAATTCTTAATTCGACATCATTTATTTCAGTCTGATTTACTAATCTGCCTTTCTCATGTTTCTGCTCACTCTCTTGATTATCAACATCTATTTTTATTTTCTGTTCCATTTCCTCGAAAACAGGTTCTTGTTTAATTCCAGTGCAGGTCTTTTCATGATTTACCACTTGTTTCTCACGATAAAACCATTTAGTACATTTTGAGCAATGATAAATTTGATTACTTTTTAATTCTCTTTTCAAAGAACAGTCAGCATTAGCTAAAGATTCTTCTATTTGACTAGAATCTGATTCAAAGGACATATTTCTGTATGGTAGAACTGGCTTATTATCATCTTGTCTTCTGGTAGTTTCTTTATCAGCCTCATTCTGATTTTTCTCTTCATCCTTTTCATTCTCATTCCCTTTGTCTGGATTAGAATTTTCAGTCTCAGGACGAACTTTTCGCTTCACCGATTTTCCATGACTGTTCTTTGCCTTTTTACTTTTGGCATCTTTGTTTTGTGAAGTTAAATAAATATGAGCATTTCTGACATGGGATGCCATTGCTTGCTGCACACTAAATTTTTTTGAGCAATAAGCACACTTATATATTTGGTTGCCGTCTTCATCTGTGTAAACTTTGGCCTTTTTTCTCTTTGTTACTGTATTTCCTGTAGGTGTATGTTTATTGTTCTTGTCATTGGTTTTATATACAGATTGTTTTATACGATATTTCATGTTTTCGTTGGTCTTTTCTATAGAATGTGAAATACGACAATGAATAGCCAGTTCCTGTGATCGGTAAAATTTATCCCCACAATATTTGCATTTGTACATTGTACTATGTCTCATATTAAAATGTTTTTCAAAGTCTTCAAAGGATGGAAGCCTTACGCTACAGTATACACACTGAAACAACCCTGTGTCTGTTAATGTGTAATCATTAACAGGGCAGCTTGTTCCAAAGGCATCAACTTGCCCGTTGCTCTCCCCTTCACAACTCTCATTGACCGGGCCATCCATATCATTATAAAAATTGGTCATAAATTCTTCAGGTTTTGCATAATCATCATAATCCATAGGTTCTTCCTTTATAGCAAGCATAACAAAGTCATTATATTCATCAGTCTTTTTTCCCTGATGATTGTCATTTCTTTCATTGGGAGTTATCTCCCCTTGCTTCTTACTGTTAGTAGAATTAATGTCTGTCTCATTAGAAACATCTGATAAACTTAGCTTTTTATTTTCATGACCTTTTTTCTTTGCCAGAACATTGTTATTTTTGCTCAAATTGTTTTTGTCGCCGAGCGATGCATCCAATTCATCAGGTATTTCATCATGTTCATTATTTGATGAAGTAACTGATCCTGTTACATTTGAAATTGCAAGTTCAATACCACTATTGTCTTTATTGTTGTGTTCTTTATTGATCTCTCCAGCTCGTAAATTATTTTCATCAGTTTCATCTAATGTACTTTTTTTCACCTGAGACTGAAATTCTTTTTCTGGCGGTATATCTCCTGTTCTAACATCACTAATTTGTAGAGGAGAATCTATGCAGTTTTCAAAGTTGCTAGTCAAACTTTTTTCATAATCACTTCCGTTACATGTTTTTCCCTGTATTTCATTGTGAATAGTGACCTTGAGTTCCCCATTCTTGACCTCTCCATTCACATGACTTGGTTCAGTTGTCATGTGATCTATATTTTTGGTCTTGTCATGCACCATTTCTTTTTCATTTATTTGACTTTTTGACACATTGGGATGACTTTCCTCAAATGTCTCACTTGAGTTAAGTTCATCTATCAACTTTAGAGTTTCTGCACTATCTTGGACAACAGATGACTGAGTTATTTCGCCTACCTGTTTACCTTCCAGAATTACATCCCTTGGCTTGAGACTTTGTATGGAATTGTCTGTAGTTTGAAAGTCTTCCAGATTTGCACTATCCAGTAAAATAGGTGACTCGTTTTTTCTATCAAACAAGGAGAGATCATTGTCTATGATGTCAGACTGATCAAGGTCATCAAGTTCATTTGGGTCAGGCAACATTTTCTCCCATTCCATCAACATGCCATCCATAATGTTAGTACTGATAAGTTTGACGTGTTTCAACTAACGTGCATTGCAGTTCTCTTAAAACTAAAAAAGAAATTGCACTTTTTAGGATACAAACAGAATCTGATTTGCTGTAAAAATAATTCTTCAAATAATGTAAATTTGTATCCATTTGTCAATCAACAGCCATTTATTGAGCAGCAAAGAACGAATAATTGAGACTTGTCATTTTTTTTTTCAAATGTTTCAAAAATCATCTTAAAATTTGTATCCACTTGTTTTCTCTCTGTTGTTTTTCAATGAAAATCTGTATAAAGTGCAATGAATTTACAACTTGTGGCTTAAAATACAAGACAGCAACACATGATTTTTGTCTTGCCTGTAACATAAGATTCACAAAGGAAATTTAAATGTGTTAATTCCGGCATTGATATTGTCAGCTGTGTCAACAACTGTTTGAGTTTGTGATTAACAGTGAAGGCAAAAAATAATAAAAATAAATGTGGATAGTGTCCACATGTGGACACAGATGATGCCTCCGCTTGCATATCATATAGTTATAAAGGGACATAACTGAAGAACGGTAAAAGTGACGCTACCCAAATTTGAACTTGATCTGAGTTTTGTGGTAATAAGCATTGTGTGTAAGTCTCACAACATTTGGTTGAGACTAACTTAAGAAGAGAACAGAAGCTAAAAATTCAGCAATTTTTCTATTTGTAAACACACATAACTCTAGAACGGTTGTGTATAAGTTTTATAACATTTGGTTGAGACAAACTAAAGTTAGAGAACGGAAACAAAAAATTCAGCAATTTTTATGTTTATAAAGGGACATAACTCAAGAATGGTAAAAGTGTCGCCACCAAATTTCGTACTTAATCTGTATTATGTAGTAATAAGCATTGTGTATAAGTTTCATAACATTTGTTTGAGGCAAACTAAAGTTAGAAAACGGAAACAAAAAATTTGTACTTGATCTTACTTTTGTGGTAATGAATATTGTGTATAGGTTTCATAATGTTTGGTTGAGGCAAACTTAAGTTACAGAATGGAAACTAAAAATTTTGCAATCTTTCAATTTATAAAGGGGCATAACTCAATAATGGTTAAAGCAGGGCTTCCAAAATTATTTTTAACCAGCCGGACATTTTATATATTATCCTGATTTTAATCCCTTAAGACTAAATAAACAAAAGGCAATTATGGTAATCAGTTGCTGAGTTGGCCATCCCAATGATTGACATTAAAAAACAAAAACGATATTAAACTTTGTTTGATTCAAATTCGAAGTTCTGATGTAAACTGTTAAATTGGCAGTGCATCATTCGAAGTGTGCAACATCAGCTTACTTATATCTGCCTAAGACTCTTTATTTGTGCAAAATAAAGGCAAAACATTGGGTCAAAAAGATCGCGAATTATGTTAATATGACTGTCTCTTAAAGCCTTGAAAACTAAAAAGTAGATGACCGTTCCATGCTTTGCCCAGCTCTAGAACGGTTAAAGTGATGCCACCAAAATTCAAACATGATCTGTGTTTTGTGGTAATCAGCATTGTGTATAAGTTTCATAACATTTGGTTGAGGTAAACATAAGTTAGAGAACAGAAACTACAAATTTGGCAATTTTTATACAACCGCAAAAAATTTTGCGATCGTATATTGGTATGATGTTGGCGTCGTCGTAGTTGTCGTCACACGGCGTCGTCGTCCGGAGACACATTGGTTTTCGCACTATAACTTTAGTTTAAGTGAATGGATCTCTATGAAATTTTCCATAAGGTCAAATACCACAAAAGGAAGGTTGGGATTGATTTTTTGGGGTTAATTTCATAGAGATCCATTCACTTAAACTAAAGTTATAGTGCTCAAAACTAATGTGTTTTCGGACGACGACGACGACGCCAATGTCATACCAATATACGACCACAAAATATTTTTGCGGTTGTATAAAAACAGCAAAAATTCCTTAAAATTACCAATTCAGGGGCAGCAACCCAACAACAGGTTGTCCCATTTATCTGAAAATTTCAGGGCAGATAGATCTTGACCTGATAAAACAATTTTACCCCCTGTCAGATTTGCTCTAAATGCTTTGGGCCAGGTGAGCTAAAAATGTAGACTACTTAGACCACTTAGATTTTTAATTTTGGGTCCAGTTTTCAAATTGGTGTACATTAAGGTCCAAAGGGTCCAAAATTAAACTTAGTTTGATTTTAACAAAAATTGAATATATAGGGTTCTTTGATATGCCAAATCTAACCGTGTATTTAGATTTTTAATTTTGGGTCCCGTTTTTTAAATTGGACTACATTAAGGTCCAAAGGGTCCAAAATTAAACTTAGTTTGATTTTAACAAAAATTGAATTCTTACGGTTCTTTGATATGCCAAATCTAAACATGTGTTCAGATTTTTTATTATGGGCCCAGTTTTCAAGTTGGTCCAAGTTGGGGTCCAAAATTAAACTTTGTTTAATTTCAACAAAAATTGAATATATGCCCGGGTTCTTTGATATGCTGAATCTAACCATGTATTTTGATTTTTGGGCCACGTTATCAAATTGGTCCACATTGAGGTCAAAAGGGTCCAAAATTAAACTTTGTTTGATTTCATCAAAAATTGAATTCTTTAGATTCTTTGATATGCTGAATCCAACCATGTATTTAGATTTTGGATATCGGACCATAATAGGTAAATTAAAAAAATTTAAGTTCTTAGACCACATTCATTCTGTGTCAGAAACCTATGCTGTGTCAAATATTTAATCACAATCCAAATTCAGAGCTGTATCAAGCTTGAATGGTGTGTCCATACTTGCCCCAACTGTTCAGGGTTCGACCTTTGCGGTCGTATCAAGCTGCGCCCAGCGGAGCATTTTATTCCATTTATAAAGGGCATAACTCTAGAACGGTTAAAGTGACGCCACCAAAATTCAAACTTGATCTATGTTTTGTGGTAATGAGCATTGTGTATAAGTTTCATAACATTTGGTTGAGGCAAACTCAAGTTAGAGAACGGAAACCAATTTTGGGACGCACGTACGTACGTACATACAGAAGGAAAAGGGTAAAACTTAATGCCCCCACCACTACGGCGGGGGCATAATTAGATTATATAGAACATGTAGAAGGGCATGATGATCTAACTTTAAATAAAATCAGGCTGTTTTTGATGGTGGATCATTTATTATGCAGGCTTAAGTGCCATTACCAAAAAAGTTTGGAGAGAATTTATATTCAATTTTTTGCTTTTGTGCTACACTATGCTGATGCGAGTTGACCCCCCCCCCAAAAAAAAAAAAATATTTGAAGAAATTTTCTTTTTAATTTCTGAAATCTAAAATGAGAAAAATAGTCCCCCCCTCACAATTTCTTTTTTGCTCCCCCCCCCCCCCCCCCCCTCCTTTTTTCCAAAAAAAAAATTCTTTCCCTCAAGATAATATGTTCATTTTCTCAATTCAAATTTCCAATGGAGTTTGCAACCATAATAATTACCCATTTAAATACATCATAAAAGTCTTAAAATAGAAAATGACATACATATTCATGACTAAAATTAATATTCCTTAATCAGCATTTCTAAATAGTAACTTCTAAAAATAAATTGACAGCTAATCACCTCAAGGCAATACAACATTTCTTTATACATAATTTAAAAGCAGTGTAAGAGAGGTAATCCAAACATAACATTGTACTTTTTTTTAATTGTCCATTAACCAGGAAACCCTTGTTTTCCCCCTTTTTTACCCCTAATTCCTAAACGGTTTGAGCGATAACCCCCAAAGCCAATCCTAACCATCCCTTTGTGGTATGGAAACTTGTTGTTCAATTTCAGAGAGACCCATACACTGTTCCACAAGTTATTGTCTGGAAACTAGAAAAATGATTATTTGGGCCCTTTTTGGACCCTAATTCATAAACTGTTAGGACTATAACCCCCAAAATCAATCCCAACCTTCCTTTTGTGGTTTGTTATAAACCTTGTGTTTAAATTTCATAGATTTCTATTTACATAACCAAATGTCTTCGGACAACGATGACGTGATACCAATATACGGCCGCAAATTTTTTTGCGGTTGTATAAAAATTGCTTTGATTTTGCAATGTGAACTTTAAATTAGCTAAACCATATATCAGTCAGGGGTACTACTTGTACAAGTAATTTTTATTTACTTGAATAAGTAAATATTAATATACTTATATAAGTAAATTTGTAGGATACTTATACAAGTGTATTTTATTTACTTGTATAGGTAAATTATTTTTTGGCCTAATTATGTCCTTTAGACATTCAGATTTTTTTACTTATACAAGTAAAAAAGTCATCCTATCTTCTTTTCTTGAATTCTTAGAGCTTCTTTGCTCTAACAGAATTTTGAATTGTCTGTCCTTTGCAGATGTCTTTACTAATCATTTCAGTGTAATTTCATGGACAATGAAAATCTCATTTGTCTGTTATCTTCAGAACACTGCTCATTTACAAGCCCCCAAGGAGCAATTTTTGAAGGCCTTGCGCAATCTGTTTCTTTGTTGAATTAATGAGATGAAACATTGAACTCTTATAAAAAATTATGAGCTAACCTGAGAAAAATTGTTAAAGGCATGATTTTACATATCAAAACTTGAGAATTTTTGTGGGATTTTGTGTGTAAAAAAAATTTACTTATACAAGTAAATTTTTGAGAAAATTAAGGGGAGATTATTCAAACATTATAATTAACTTATATAAGTATATTTTATTTACTTCTGCAAGTAAATAAAGATTACTTGTACAAGTAGTACCCCTGACTATATATCTAGAAATTTGAGTTATCTCCCGGTTCACAATTTCATGTACAACTTTTGTGATTTTTTATTAAACAGTTTTCTTCACAAATATGGTTATTCAGATACACATCATTTTTTAAATATTATATCTGAGTATAACCTATTATTAATAAATTGCATGCATTACCTTGATAGAATCTAAAGAATGTTCACTGCATTGCACTATGTTGTTTTAATTATCAGTGGCATTGATAAACCCTTGAAGATACCTCAAGCCAGATACATACATGTAAGGGTTTTGATTGCATGAATGCAA